ATTGGGGGTGATGTATTATATTGGGGGGACGCAATGTATTATATTGGGGTGATGTATTATATTGGGGTGATGTATTATATTGGGGGGACGCGATGTATTATATTGGGGTGATGTATTATATTGGGGTGATGTATTATATTGGGGGGACGCGATGTATTATATTGGGGTGATGTATTATATTGGGGTGATGTATTATATTGGGGTGATGTATTATATTGGGGTGATGTATTATATTGGGGTGATGTATTATATTGGGGTGATGTATTATATTGGGGTGATGTATTATATTGGGGTGACGCGATGTATTATTATTTGGGGGGACGTCATGTATTATATTGGGGGGGTCATGTATTATATTGGGGTGACGCGATGTATTATATTGGGGTGATGTATTAATTGGGGTGATGTATTATATTGGGGTGACGCGATGTATTATATTGGGGGGACGTCATGTATTATATTGGGGGGTCATGTATTATATTGGGGGGACGCGATGTATTATATTGGGGGTGATGTATTATATTGGGGTGATGTATTATATTGGGGTGATGTATTATATTGGGGTGATGTATTATATTGGGGTGATGTATTATATTGGGGTGATGTATTATATTGGGGGGACGTCATGTATTATATTGGGGGTGATGTATTATATTGGGGGGACGTCATGTATTATATTGGGGGGACGTCATGTATTATATTGGGTGTGGGGAAGATGTGTCCTGCTATATTGGGAATTGGGGTGACAGGTTGTACTATGTTGGGGTCTGGGGGGTAATGGGTTGTGCCATGTTGGAATTGGGGGGGGGGGGATGATGGGTTGTACCATGCTGCTGGGTCTGGAGGGTGATGGGTTGTACCATGCTGGGATCTGGAGGGTGATGGGTTGTACCATGTGGGGTCTGGATGGGGGTTGATACCATGTTGGGGATGATGGGTTGTACCATGTTGGGGTCTGGAGGGTGATGGGATGCACCATATTGGGGTCAAGGGGAGGGGTGATGGGTTGTACCAGATTGGGGTCAGGGGGGTGGGGTGATGGGTTGTACCATATCGGGGTCGGGGGGTGATGGATTGTACCATATGGGGGTCGGGGGGGTGATGGGTTGTACCATGTTGGGATCTGGAGGGTGATGGGATGCACCATATTGGGGTCAGGGGGGTAATGGGTTGTACCATATTGGGGTTAGGGGGGGATGATGGGTTGTACCATTTTGGGGTCTGGGGGGGGTGATGGGGTTGTACCATGTTGGGGTCTGGGGGGTGATGAGATGTACCATGTTGGGGACTGGGGGGTGATGAGATGTACCATGTTGGGGACTGGGGGGTGATGAGATGTACCATGTTGGGGACTGGGGGGGTGATGGGATGTACCATGTTGGGGTCTGAGGGGGTGATGGGATGTACCATGTTGGGGTCTGAGGGGTGATGGATTGTACCATATTAGGGTCTGGGGGTGATGGGTTGTACCATGGTTGGGGTCGGGGGGGGGTGATGGGTTGTACCATGTTGGGGTCGGGGGGTGATGGGTTGTACCATGTTGGGGTCGGGGGGTGATGGGTTGTACCATGTTGGGGTCGGGGGGTGATGGGTTGTACCATATTGGGGTCGGGGGGGGGTGATGGGTGATGGGTTGTACCATATGGGGGTCTGGGAAGTGAAGGGATGTACCATGTTGGGGGTCTGTCGCGGTGATGGGATGTACCATGTTGGGGTCTGGGGGTGATGGGTTGTACCATGTTGGGGTCTGGAGGGTGATAAGTTGTACCATATTAGGGTCTGGGGGGTGATGGGTTGTACCATATGTTTGGGGTCTGGGGGTGATGGGTTGTACCATGTTGGGGTCTGGGGGTGATGGGTTGTACCATGTTGGGGTCTGGGGGTGATGGGTTGTACCATGTTGGGGTCTGGGGGTGATGGGTTGTACCATATTAGGGTCTGGGGGGTGATGGGTTGTACCATGTTTGGGGTCTGGGCGTGATGGGTTGTACCATGTTGGGGGTCTGGGGGTGATGGGTTGTACCATGTTGGGGTCTGGTTGTGATGGGTTGTACCATATTGGGGTGATGGGGTGTACCATGTTGGGGTCTGGGGATGTGATGGGATGTACCATGTTGGGGTCTGGGGGTAATGGGATGTACCATGTTGGGGTCTGGGGGGTAATGGGATGTACCATGTTGGAGTCTGGGGATGTGATGGGGTGCACTATGTTGGGTGAGGGGGTGCTCTGACCAGTCTCTCAGTCCCGTTTGGGGGTCTCTGTCAGTCCCGGAGCCCCCTCCATTGTCCCGGCACACAGCTAGGGGAGGTCTGGAGGGGGATACAGACTCCATGCAGAGGCGGAGAGGAGGACTATCAGGCCGCGGTGGGCAGAGAGAAGGCCAGGGACAGGTCAGGGATCCCCCCCGGGATGAGGGAAAGGAGGACGGCGCGGTTACCTGCTGATTTTCTGGGCGAAGGCCCGGCGCTCCGCCATGTCCGCCTCTCCAAGCGGCTCCCTCCCGGCTGACAGAGCCCTGAGTGCGCCTCTACCACGGGATATTCGGCCGCCGCTGCCTGCCCTCCTCTACCGCTCACTGCCCCCTCCAGCCGCCGCCTACCGTACTACTCCCTATAGCCGCGCATAGGAGGATTACAGCGAGCGAGAGAGGAGGCGGAGTTCACCCCTTGTCTGATAATAGGAACATCAGAGAATATCAACAACCACAGGAATAATAATAATAATAATCATAATAATAATATCATCATAAAAATATATAATATAATAATCATAATATAATATAATATAATAATAATAATAATATAATACTAATAATAATAATAATCATAATAATAATAATCAACATAATCATAATAATAATACTAATAATCAGCATAATAATAATATAATAATAATAATAATTATTATTATTATTATTATTATTATTAATAACTAAATGCAACAATATAGAAAGAATAAATCAAATAATGAATACAAGATTATAATATGTTAATTAATAAATAGTAGTAGCAGTAATTTTTTTTATATTTCTTGGTGTTCTTTAGGAAACAATAAGAAAAAATTTTCACATTAAGTGACACACTAATTATAAAGATGATGGTGGCGCACCACCAAGTGTGCCACGGTTTTCGGTCAATTCCTGCAGGACCAGGGGCGGACTGACCATTTGGAAACTCAGGCATTGCCCGAGGGCCCGGGTCAGTAGGGGGCCCCATGGATGCCCCTGGAACCTTTTTCATAGGCTTTTTTTAGTTTGGGCAATGACACAGGGGCCCCATGATCCCCTATTGCCCAGGGGCCCCATGAGTTGTCAGTCCGCCCCTGTGCAGGACAATGCTGGATTCGATGGTATCAAGCAAGGTAAGGGGTGGGGGGTTGTTCGAAGCAAAATTAAAGTGTCACTAGAGGCAAAACTTTTTATTTTTATGTTGAATAGAGTACGGGAGGATTACCAATATGGAAGAAAAATATATTTGAAATATATTTTAAAAATATTTTTCCCAAATATATTGACATATATTTGTAATGCTACAATTTTGGCCATATTTTTAAAAATATATATTTTTTAAATATATTCTTCAGATTTTTTTTAACATATAAAAAAGTCATTTTAACATGTATTTTTATATATATTTGTAAATGCATTCCAAAAATGTAGATTTGCATTTTTAAAGACATACAGTATATTTGAAATGTATTTTTAAAAATATTGTTCATATATTTTGTAATAATAAAAACGCATTTCAACATGCAGTATATATATATATATATATATATATATATATATATATATATATATATATATATACACACACACACACACACATATATATATATATATATATTTTATTGAAATATATTTTGAAATATATTGAATATGGCCAAAATTGTAGCATTTCAAATATATGTTAATATATCTGGGAATAATATTTTAAAAACTGTAGTATTTCAAATATATTTTTCTTCCATGTGGGTATAACCCCTCTATTTGTGCCCCATTGGAGGGGATTTCCCATCACTTCCTGTCCCAAAGTCAGGAAATCCCTGGTTGTCACCAGAACTAGTGTCCCCATTGGAAAAGATTTCCCGTCTACTGTATTCCTGTCATGGCGACAACCTAAAAATTTGAATTTTCTTTCACTTTCAATGATAATGGTAATCAGGACAAATACAGAGGGTGAATCTCCCTACCGGGGACACAGAAGGCAATGAAACCCGACCGGGGTTCTAATCCCTCTAGTCCCCTTTAATAACCAGCAGAGTTTCATTCACATTAGTGAGTCTCCAAAGTTGCACAATTTCCAGTGTGACTTAGGAGCGTGACTTTTGGTGTGACTTTGATCTGACTCTACACTCTCCCAACCAAATTTGCATCAAAGGTTGCACCAAAGTAGTACAGACACCTTTTCAAAATCGCTGCAACTGTAGGTAGAGGGCAAAAAAAAAACCTGACAGGGGGTGTAACCCTCCCTTAGCCCTGGTTAACATCTGTGTGGTCGTGTGGGGCGGGATTTGCATCCCTGCACTACTTGGGAAATCGCAGACAGCTTGGGATCCGAAGTTCCCAGTACGGTGGTGATTTCCAGTGCGGGCAGCGTGCCACTAGAACTAATGGCACCCACACCGCAGTACCGCCCCTCTTATAGAAAACAGAACCAAGTATCATTTTGTGTTGTTAACTTTGCAAGGAGTTTATTAATGATAACAAGAAAAGCAGTAAAGAAGATCCCCTGCAGCCAGCAACAATAGCCTCCCCCAACAATAGATCTCCCCAGCAACAATCAATTCCCCATCAGCAACAGTAGATTGTGCCAGCAATGACACACTCCCTGCAACAAAACACCCCCCAGCCACAACAGATCAACCCCAAGGAACAATAGACCCCCACCACCAGCAACAATAGGTCTCCCCAGCAACAATAAATCCCCCATCAGCAACAGTAGATTGCGCCAGCAACAAAACACCCCCCAGCCACAACACATCAACCCCAAGGAACAATAGACCCCCACCAGCAATAATAGATCTCCTAGTAGCCTTGTTATATGTCACCTTGACTATTGTAACTCCCTCCTCATTGGCCGACCTCATCGCAGACTATCCCCTCTTCAGTCTATCATGAATGCTGCTGCCAGATTCCTCTACCTTACTAACCGTTCTGTATCTGCCACCCTCTCTGCTAATCCCTCCACTGGCCTCCAGTCAGTGTCCTCCATCCCTCTCTGCCAATCCCACCACTGGCTTCCACTCAGTGTCCTCCATCCCTCTCTGCCAATCCCTCCACTGGCTCTCCAAGTGTCCTCCATCCACTCTCTGCCTCCACTGACCTCCACTCAGTGTCCTCCATCCCTCTCTGCCAATCCCCACTCAGTGTCCAACCCCTCTCTGCCAATCCCTCCACTGGACTCCACTCAGTGTCCTCCATCCCTCTCTGCCAATCCCTCCACTCCCCCCCCCCCCCTATGGCCTCCACTCAGTGTCCTCCACCCCTCTGCTGACCTCCAATCCCCAATCCCTCTCTGGCCTCCACTCAGTGTCCTCCACCCTCTCTGCCAATCCCTCCACTGGCCCCACTCCATGTCCTCAGTGTCTCTCCATCCCTCCTCCATTCAGCCTCCATCCCTCTTGCCAATCCCCCACACTGGCCTCCACTCAGTGTCCTCCACCCCTCTCTGCCAATCCCTCCACTGGCCTCCACTCAGTGTCCTCCACCCCTCTCTGCCAATCCCTCCACTGGCCTCCACTCAGTGTCCTCCACCCCTCTCTGCCAATCCCTCCACTGGCCTCCACTCAGTGTCCTCCATCCCTCTCTGCCAATCCCCCCACTGGCCTCCACTCAGTGTCCTCTACCCCTCTCTGCCAATCCCTCCACTGGCCTCCACTCAGTGTCCTCCATTCCTCTCTGCCAATCCCTCCACTGGCCTCGACTCAGTGTCCTCCACCCCTCTCTGCCAATCCCTCCACTGGCTTCCCATTGCCCAATGGATACAATTCAAAACATGAACAATTACATATAAAACCATTTTTTAACTCCGCCCCAAATTACATCACTGATCTTGTCTCTAAATATCACCCAAACCGTGCTCTCCGCTCCTTGCAAGACCTTCTACTCTCTAGCTCCCTTGTCTCCTCCTCCCATGCTCATCTCCAGGACTTCTCCAGAGTTTCCCCCCATCCTCTGGAACTCTCTACCCCAATTTTTCAGACTATTGCCTACTCTGCTCACTTTTAGGCGATCTCTGAAAACCTCTCTCTTCAGGGAAGCCTATCCTGCCCTCAGCTAATAATAGAATCTTCTATTCCCCCTATCAGTCCATCCCCCACAGTTACTACCTTTTGTACCACTAGCCCCTCCCTCTTAGATTGTAAGCTCCCAGGATCAGGGCCCTCCTATCCCTCTTGTATTGAACTGTATTGTTGCTGTATTGTCTCCCGTTATATTGTAAAGTGCTGAGCAAACTGTTGGTGCCATATAAATCCTGTATAATAATAATAATAATAATATATAAATCCTGTATAATAAATAATAATAACAGTAGCCAGCATTATTAGACCTTCCAGCAGCTAGAAAAAAGAGACCCCTCCCTCAACAATAGATCCTTTCCAGAAACAATAGACATCCCCCAGCAACAATGGACTCCTTCTTCAACAATAGACCCTCTCCAGTGACAATAGATCCCCCAGGAACCAGCCTCAACGAACCCTCCAGCACACCTTGCCATTACATACATTCAGTGCTGGAGGTGCCGGAACTGCGTTCCCCCCGCATTCCCGCTGAACACAAGTCCTGATCCTCGTGCAGACTCCACCTCCGCAACATCGCCAAAATCCGCACGTTCCTAACTCCAGAAACCACTAAAACAACTCATCCACTCCCTCATCATATCACGACTCGACTACTGCAACTCCCTCCTCACTGGCCTGCCTCACCGCTGGCTATCCCCGCTTCAGTCCATCCTGAATACGGCTGCCAGACTCATTCACCTTTCCAACCGCTCCATCTCCGCCACCCCCCTCTGCCAATCCCTCCACTGGCTTCCGATTGCGCAACGGATCAAATTCAAAATCCTAACACTGACGTACAAAGCCGTCCACCATACTGCCCCGAACTACATCACTGACCTAATATCCAAGTACCACCCAACACGCACACTCCGCTCCTCACAAGACCTCCTTCCCTCTAGTTCCCTGGTCTCCTCCTCCCATGCCCCCTCCAGGACTTCTCCAGGGTGTCACCCATCCTCTGAACTCTCTGCCCCAACCCATCAGATTATCACCTACTCTCCTCTCCTTTAGGCGCACCCTGAAAACTCATCTCTTCAGGGAAGCCTACCCAACCCCCTGCTAACCTGCCGACCTCCTCCACTCTTCCTACCACTCCATCCCCCACAGCTATCTCCTCCTGTGCCACCATCCCCTCCCTCCTAGATTGTAAGCTCCAAGGAGCAGGGCCCTCAATCCCCTCATGTTTTGCATTGTATTGTTATTGTTCTGTCACATGTTCTGTCCCCCTTTGTAATGTACAGCGCTGAGCGAACTATCGGCGCTTTATAAATACTGTATAATAATAATATTTCTGTTGTTATGAGCAATCCTGATATACTGGAAGTGAGCGCACACAGCACAATCATTCCATGGAAAGTTCGACATGTCCAGGCAGCCATAATCACAGTCAGTACATCGATACTGAATCAGGCGAATTCTTTTGTTGTTATTATAAATAAATATAATTAGGAAGGTTAATCCGTGTAAAGTCAGACCATAGAGAATTCTGTTGTCACTGATAACAATCGTGTTGATAATAATAATAGAATTGCTCACAAAACATATAATATAAACCCAAGTGGGTGAGGTTTGGTTTGCTAGAGCAGCATGTGTCATAATAAACTGCCATGCATTTACAACTCTTACATCTCTATGCTGCTGCTGATCATCTGCGGCCTCTTTACAACCACTTCACACACTCCGGAGATGGCTGCATGACATTTCTCGAGGCAGGTTTCCCGATGGTGACAACTGTGCACCATGTCTGCATAATGTGTATTGGCATGGATGCTCAAAGTCTCCATGAGAAGCCCCTGTGACAGGGTGACAACAGGGCAGCACAGCTGGGTGACCAGATCACCTTATAACAGGAAGTGCCTAATCAATGACTTTCATGGTGTTCCTGACAGGCTGTATTTGCATATTACTTTGTATCTCCTGCCTGATCAATGTATATAAACAATGTTACTTTGTCTCTCTCCCATCTGATCAATGTTTATAAAGAATGTTACTTTGTATCTCTCTATCACCCATCTGATCAATGTTTATAAAAAATGTTACTTTGTATTTCTCTATCTCCCATCTGATCAATGTTTATAAAACAATGTTACTTTGTATCACTGTCTCCTGTCTGATCCATGTTTATAAACAATGTTACTTTGTATAGCTCTGTCTCCCGTCTGATCAATAGTTATAAACAATGATACTTTGTATCTATCATCCGTCTGATAAATGTTTATAAACAATCTTTTACTTTGTATCTCTTTATCTCCCGTCTGATCAATATTTATAAACAATGTTACTTTGTATCTATCACCCGTCTGATAAATGTTTATAAACAATGTTACTTTGTATATCTTTATCTCCCGTCTGATCAATGTTTATAAACAATGTTACTTTGTATCTCTTTATCTCCCGTCTGATCAATGTTTATAAACAATCTTGCTTTGTATCTCTTTATCTCCCGTCTGATCAATATTTATAAAACAATGTTACTTTGTATCTATCACCCGTCTGATAAATGTTTATAAAATGTTACTTTGTATATCTTTATCTCCCGTCTGATCAATGTTTATAAACAATGTTACTTTGTATCTATCTCCCGTCTGATCAATGTTTATAAACAATGTTACTTTGTATCTCTTTATCTCCCGTCTGATCAATGTTTATAAACAATGTTACTTTGTATCTCTCTATTTCCAGTCTGATCAATGTTTATAAACAATGTTACTTTGTATCTCTCTGTCTACCGTCTGATCAATGTTTATAAACAATGTTACTTTGTATCTCTCTATCGTCTGATCAATGTTTTAAAAACAATGTTATTTTGTATCTCTTTATCACCCGCCTGATCAATGTTTATAAACAATGTTACATTGTATATCTCTGTCTCCCATCTGATCAATGTTTATAAACAATGTTACTTTGTATCTCTCTGTCTGCCATCTGATCAATGTTTATAAACAATTTTTTTGTATCTGTCTGCCGTCTGATCAATGTTTATAAACAATGTTACTTTGTATCTCTCTATCTCCTGTCTGATCAATGTGCAGATTGGTACACCCATGGCTTTTTTTTCTCAGAGAATAGGTACAAGAACTCCCCCCTTGTCTCCGCCTATTACCCACCTGCGGTCCACCCCCTGCCCACCTCCCAGTACTGCCCCTTTTAGAATATATAGAACCAAACATCATTATGTGATGCTAAGTAATTTGTATAAAATTTGTTTATGATAGCACATATATATATATATATATAATATATACTGTATGTTGAAATGAGTTTTTTTATATATTACAAAATATATGAAAAATATTTGGAAAAATTAATATTTTTTAAATATATTCTTTAGATGTTTTTAACATATAAAAAAGTTATTTTTACATGTATTTGTAAATGCATTCCAAAAAAGTAGAATGTATTTTTAAAGACATACAGTATATTTGACAATGTATTTTTAAAAATATTTTTTCATATATTTTGTAATATATAAAAAAACACAATTTAACATACAGTTATATATATATATATATATATATATATATATATATATATTATTATTTTTTTAAATATATAGAATATGGCCAAAATTGTAGTATTTCAAATATAAGTCAATATATTTGGGAAGAATATTTTTAAAATCTATTTAAAATCTATTTTTCTTCCATGTGGGGACACTGAGCACTCACTTTGCATCTCTGGAGGAGGGAACGCTAAGGCTGCGATCACATCTGAGCGTTCTGTGGACACATAGATCGTGTGACGCACTTCGGTGCCATTCATTGTTCATGGTACCCCAAAGGTGGCCCGCAGACACGCGCATCGCGTCAAAAGGTGTGGTTTTAAAAACTCACAAAGCTCAACCCCCAAAAAGGAACAGGAGCTTCTTTGGCTCGGTTTTCCTATGCAGGCCATCCTATTAAAATGAATGGGATGCCCTATGAGTGAAAACGCATAATATAATAAAACTCTGCCCCCAATTACATCACCAATATTGTCTCCAAATATCACCCAAACCGTCCTCTCCACTCCTCCCACGACCTCCTGCTCTCTAGTCTCCTCCTCCCATGCGCGTCTCCAGGACTTCTCCAGAGCCTCCCCCATCCTCTGGAACTCTCTACCCCAATTTATCAGACTATTGCCTACTCTGCTCACTTTTAGGTGATCTCTGAAAACATATAAGGTAATGGAGTTTTTCTATTCCCTCCTACCAGTCCATCCCCCACAGTTATTACCTTTTGCACCACTAGCCCCTCCCCCCCTCTTCGATTGTAAGCTCCCAGGATCAGGGCCCTCCTAACCCTCTTGTATTGAACTGT